TCTCCTTTTTCAAATGTGTTTTGAACAAAATTTATTGTCACAAACTCCACATTTTTTGGAAGAAAGTCCTTGGGGAAAAAAAGGAGGATCACCAAATCCATTCAAATGTCACTTAAGCCCCAGAAAGCAGAATGGGTCTTGAAATCTTGTGTGGGATATTTTGGTAATTTCAGCCAAAATTAAGGTCATTTCTACACTGCTATGTGGTCCAGATTATCAAAACAGATAATCCGAATTTTATATGGCAGTGCAGAAGGGGCCTTAGAAGGGGATTCAGACCTAGATGTGTGGGGCAATTGGGAAGATATGGAAGAAACTCCTGCTATTTTTCCTCGGGTGGGAATATAATGCACTGTGTTGTGAAGACTTTCATAGCCGGAATTACTGGGTTGCTGTGAGTTTTCTTGGCTGTATGATCATGTTCCAGAAGCATTCTCTCCTGACGTTTCACCCACATGTATGGCAGGCATCCTCAGAGGTTGTGAGGTCTGTTAGAAACTAGCAAGTGAGGTTTATATATCTGTGGAATGTCCAGAGTGGGAGAAAGAACTCTGGTCTGCTTGTTGCAATTGGCCACCTTGATTAACATTTAATGGCCTTGTAGCTTCAAAGCCTGGCTGATGTTCTTTCTCCCACCCTGGACATTCCACAGATATATAAACCTCACTTTGCCCAGTTTCCAACAAAACTCACAACCTCTGAGGATGCCTGCCATACATGTGGATGAAACGTCAGGAGAGAATGCTTCTGGAACATGGCCATGCAGCAACCCAATATAATGCACTGCAACCTAATATAATGCACTGCCTGTCATTCAGGGATAGGAGTAAACTGCTTCTTTTCTTTCTCATTTTTAATTTTGCAGATTTGCCGCACAAATCACTGCTATAGCATCTGCCTTTCTCCCCCTCTCCATGTGTGTATGTGTGTGTTTGTATTTGTATTTGTGTGTGTGTATGCGAAGGGGTCTTCTAGTACTCAGCCTCCAAGGTGCAACACGATTCCTGACTGACACACCACTACCTTCGAATCCCTAATAATAATATTACTAATAATAGTAATAATAATGGTAATAACAATAGTAAGAGTAATAATATTTTTATTTCTTGTCTATCACTCCTCAAGGCAGGGTACAACATAGTTAAAAACACAAGAAACAGGCATTAAAAGGCATAGAAAAAATGTAAACACATTCACATCATGCATACCAACAAAAATGCCAATTCTATCCAGGTGAATGCATTTTTCTTGTCATGGAACCGAGCCAATTCCATCTGGGGGAGAAGAGCATCCCCTCCTGGGCGTCTCTCTTTCTCCCCCCACCTTTTGAAATAAATGTAAACTCAGAAATGATAGGCAGCCCCTTCTAAGAGAGGCGTCTTGCCCCCTCCTCTTCCTCCTCTCTCTCTTTCTCTAGCTCCCTTTTGCCATAAAACCATTTTTGCTGTCGCTCCAACTCTTCTCCCTTCCCTCCTGCTCGTCTTCCTCCCCCCACCCCTGTTGAAGGAAAAGCAAGCCTAGAAACCGTAGGCAGCCCCTTCCAGGGAAGGAGTGGGTCACGTGTGGACGCCCCCCTCCTTTTCTCTCTCTCTCCCTTTTGCCATAAAAGCATTTTTTGCCATCGCTTCCTCTCTTCCCCCCTCCTTCCTTCTCCCTCCTCCCCTTCCCTCTTGAGTGTCATGAAATCATATATGCAACCCCTTCCAGGGTCACGTGTGAACACCCCCACTTCTCTCTTGCCGTAAAAGCATTCTTGCCAACACTCCCTCCCCCCAAACTTGGAAAAGTAAGCTCAGAAATGTGTTGTCGAAGGCTTTCATGGCCGAAATCATTGGATTGCTGTGAGTTTTCTGGACTATGTTCCAGAAGCATTTTCTCCTGACGTTTCACTCACATCTATGGCAGGCATCCTCAGAGATTATGAGGTCCTGTTGGAAACTAGCAAGTGTGGTTTATATATCTGTGGAATGTCCAGCCCGGGAGTCAGAATTCTTGTCTGTTGGAAGCAGGTGTGAATGTTGCAATTGGCCACCTTGGTTAGCATTGAATGGCCTTGCAGCTTCAAAGCCTGGCTGCTATTGATAGTATGCTAATCAAGCTGGCCAACTGCAACATTCACACTTGCCTCAAACAGACTTTTAGAAAAACCTCCCAACAAAGAATTCTGCCAGGCAGGAAGCTGCAAGACCATTCAATGCTAACCAAGGTGGCCAATTGCAACATTCTTCCACCCTGGACATTCGTTGGACTGATAGGTGTCTTGTGTCCAAATTTGGTGTCAATTCGTCCAGTGGTTTTTGAGTTATGCTAAACCCACAAACGAACATTACATTTTTATTTATATACATAGATAGATGTGTGTGTGTGGAGGAAGAGCTGTTGTTTTTTTGAGGTAGGCACAAATGTTGCAATTGGCCACTTTGATTAGCATTTAATGGCCTAGCAGTTTCAAGGTCTGGCTTCTTACTGCCTGGGGGATTGCTTTGTTGAAACGTCAGGAGAAAATTCTTTCTCCTGCCCTGGACATTCCACAGATGTATAAAACCCATTTTCCTAGTTTCCAACAGACCTCACAACCTCTGAGGAAGCCTGCCATAGATGTAGGTGAAACGTAAGGAGAGAATGCTTCTGGAACATGGCCATACACACAACAAAGAAACAAAGTATGTATATATACAACTCTACAATTTTCTAATTCCTTCAACTGTTGTATAGAACCTATTTGGAAGTTAGAGGTAAAGTGTACTCCTAAAACATCCGAGGAGATAGTCTATACCAAACCATAATGTTCAAGAGTTGTATATATACACTAGCTGTCCCCTGCCACGCTTTGCTGTGGCCCAGTCTGTATATATGTGTTTTGTGTGTGTATATGTGTGTATATATTTGTGTATCTGTGTATATATGTGTTGTTTATGGGTATATATGTGTGCGCACATGTGTGTATAGATGTGTTTATGTGTGTATATATTTGTGTGTTAATATGTGTATATGTATACAATGTATATGTGTGTGCTTGTTTATATGCATATCTGTGTTTATATATGTGTGTATGTGTGTGTGCATGTGTATATTTGTGTGTGCATGTGTATATGTATATATGTGTGTATGTGGATGTATGTGTGTGTATATTTGTGTGTGCTTGGGTATAAATATACATATGTGTATGTATGTGTGCATGTGTATATGAGTGTGTGTGTGGGTATATATGTGTGCACATATGTGTGTGTGTAGATGTGCTTACTTGTGTGCATATATTTATGTGTTTATATGTGTATATGTATATTGTGTATATGTGTGTGCTTGTTTATATGCATTTTTCTGTTTATGTATGTGTTTATGTATGTGTGCATGTGTATATGTATATATGTGTGTATGTAGATGAATGTGTGTGTATATTTGTGTGTGCTTGGGTATATATATACGAATGTGTATGTATGTGTGCATGTGTATATGAATATGTGCGTGTGGGTATATATGTGTGCGCATATGTGTGTGTGTAGATGTGTTTATATGTGGGTATATATATATTTATGTGTTTATATGTGTATGTGTATATTGTGTATATGTGTGTGCTTGTTTATATGCATATTTGTGTTTATATATGTATGTATGTATGTGTGCATGTGTATATTTGTGTGTGCATATGTATATGTGTGTGTATGTAGATGTGTGTGTGCTTGGGTATATATATACTTATGTGTATGTATGTGTGCATGTGTATATGAGTGTGTGTGTGTGAGGGGTTATATATGTGTGCGCATATGTGTGTATAGATGTGTTTATATGTGTGTATATATTTGTGTGTTTATATGTGTATATGTATATTGTGTATATGTGTGTGTTTGTTTATATGCATATTTGTGTTTATATATGTGTGTAGTTATGTGTGCATGTGTATATGTACATATGTGTGAATGTGTATGAGTGTATGTGTGTGTGTATCTATATCTCTATCTATCTATATATGGTGTATTTTTGGGATTTTTAAGTCCATTCTGCTGGGGCTTTTTTTTTTTTTTTTGTATTTTTAGGGGTGATGAACACTCGTTGGACTGTTAGGTATATATATTGTGTCAAAATTTTCTATCAATTCCTCCAGTGATTTCCGAGTTATGTTAATCCCACAAACGAACATTACATTTTTATTTATATATAGATAGGTTCTTGTGGGTTTTTTCGGGCTATAGAGCCATGTTCTAGAGGCATTTCTCCTGACGTTTGCCATCCTTGCCAAGAGGATGCTTGCCATAGATGCAGGCGAAACGTCAGGAGAAATGCCTCTAGAACATGGCTCTATAGCCCGAAAAAACCCACAAGAACCTAGTGATTCCAGCCATGAAAGCCTTCGACTATATATAGATACTTTGTTTCTTTGTGTATCTATCTGGATTACTTGCATACACACAGCAACCCAAGCTCAGAAACCATACCGTTCTCTCTCTCTCAAAAAATTAAGTATTACTTGTTTATTGTGATTCTAATTCCAATGGTTTTTTAAAAATCTTATATTAGACTTTTCTAATGTGGGTGGGAGATGTGCAGGGCGATGGCCTTTTTTTTTTTTTTTTTGGCCATCGCTCCCCCTCTTTCCCCTCCCCTACAACACACACACACAAAATAAGCTCAGAAATCACTCTCAGCCCCTTTCAGGAGAAGTGTAGCCCCCCTCCCCATCTTCCCTTTGCCATAGAAGCAGTTCTCTCTCTCTCTCTCTCTCTCTCTCTTCCCCCCTCCCCACTCCCCTCAAATAAGGAAGCTCAGAAATCCTAAGCAGCCTCTTCCAGGAGAGGCGGGGTCACGTGACAGCTGCCTCTCCCCCTTTCCCTTTCTCTCCCCTTTGCCATAAAAGCCTTTCTGCCCCCGCTCGCTCCCTCTCCCCCCTCCCTCCCCTGCCCCTCGCTCTCAGCCAATGGGCGCTCCCCTCGGGCCCAGCGAGGCCTTGGCGGCGACAAGTCTCCCAGGCGACCCTCCCGCCGCTTAAAACCATCCCAGCCGCCTCTCTTATCCCGGAGTCCGGGCCCCTCTCGCCTCCCGTTGGGGCCCACATGAGCTCTCCCGCCGCATGGACCCCGAGGACGCCTTCGCAGAGGAGCCGCGGAAGAGCATGGAGGGCTTGCCTTTCCCGGCGCCCGGAGGAGGAGGAGGAGGCGGGAGCACGAGTAGCAGCAGCAACCGGAACGGGACTCCTCTCCCAGGCCCTGGCTACCCCTCTTTGGACGCCGGGGAGCCCTCCGCCAAGCCTTGCTTGCCCCCTTCGGTCTCTTCCGCCGCCACAGCCTCGCCGTTCTCCTACGGATGCTTCCCCGGCGGAGGAGGAGGCGGAGGAGGCGGCGGCGGCGGAGGAGGAGGGGGCTACTATTCCTACCGCGTGGCCCGCAGCGCCCTCAAACCGGGGCCCATGATGCCCCCGCAACCGGGCTACCCGGAGAAGTACCTCGAGGTCTGCAACGTGGCGGCGGCTGAGGACTACCCCACTCGCCCGGCGGAGTTCGCCTTCTACCCGGGCTATGGCGGGCCCTACCAGCCCGTGGCCAGCTACCTGGACGTTTCCGTGGTCGGTGGAGGGGCCGCTGGGGAAGCCAGGCACGAGGCGCTCTTGCCCGTGGACCCTTACCACGAACCCTGGGCCCTGGCCGCCGGAGGGTGGAGTGGCCCCGTGTGCTGCGCCAAGGAGCCCAGCCCCGCCGCAGGGCACTTTTGGAAAACCGCTTTTGCAGGTAACTCACCCCAGCTTCTGCCAACCTAGCAGTTCGAAAACATGCAGATGTGAGTAGATCAATAGGTATCCCTCCCGCGGGAAGGTAATGGCGCTCCATGCAGTCATGACCTTGGAGGTGTCTACGGACAATGCCATCTCTTCGGCTTAGAAATGGAGATGAGGCAGAAAATATCGCATATGATTGTGGACTCAGATAATCCATTATTATAATGAATAATGGGACTGGACTGGGTGGCCTCTGGAGGTCCCTTCCAATTCTAGGATCCTAGCTGGCACCTCTTAGGGCCCTTCCACACAACCCTATATCCTAAAATATCGAGGCAGAAAATATCACATCTGATTGTGGACTCAGGTAATCCATAATTATAATGAATCATGGGATTGGAGTGGGTGGCCCCTGGGGGTCCCTTCCAATTCTAGGATCCTAGCTGGCACTTCTTAGGGCCCTTCTACACAGCCCTATATCCTAGATTATCAAGGCAGAAAATATCACATCTGTTTGTGGACTCAGATAATCCATAATTATAATGAATCATGGGATTGGACTGGCTGGCCTTTGGGGTCCCTTCCAACTCTAGGATCCTAGAAGGCACCTTTTTGACATCCCTGGAGTCGGACAGGACTGGACTTAATGTCAGGGGAAAGCCTTTACCTTTACTTTTACCACCTAAAGAAGGTGGGGAACGTTAAGCAGAGGCTGGATGGATTGTGTGCACCTGCTTGGCAGAATGGGGTTGGACAGGGTAGCCCTTGAGGGTCCCTTCCAACTCTAGGATCCTAGTTATCACCTCTTAGGGCCCTTCCATACAACCCTTGAAACAAAACCACAGAAAGGTTCCACTGCTAAAATAATGCTAACCTATCAGAAGCTGTTTACAACCAAACAGGACTTAAATGCCTTTCTGCCAAAGATAGGCTCTCTAGCTGATCAAGTAAGAGTAAATGGTGAAACAATTAACGATATGATGATTACATCTATTACTTCAAATGGAATTAATCAGAGTTATTAAAAAATCTGTATTAATTTTGAGAAATACCCACAACAGCCCTATATCCCAGAATATCAAGGCAGAAAATCTCACATGATCTGAGTGCGGATTCAGATAATCCATAATTATAATGGATAATAGGATTCGATTGGGTAGCCTCTCGGGGATCCCTTCCAACCCTAGGATCCTAGGAGGCAACTCTTAGGGTCCTTCCACACAGCCCTATATTCCAGAATTTCAACTCAGAAAATCTCACATTATCTGAGTGTGGACTCAGATAACCCATAATTATAATAGGTAATGGGATTGGACTGTGTGGCCTTTGGGGGTCCCTTTCAACCCTAGGATCCTAGTTGGCACCTCTTAGAGCCCTTCCACACAGCCCTATATCCCAGAATACCAAGGCAGAAAATCTCACATTATCTGAGTGTGGACTCAGATAACCCATAATTATAATGGATAATGGGATTGGCTTTTGGGGGTCTCTTCCAGCCCTAGGATCCTAGAGGGCACCTCTTAGGACCCTTCCATACAGCTCTATGTCCCAGAATACCAAAGCAGAAAATCTCACATGATCTGAGTGTGGACTCAGATAACCCATAATTATAATGGGATTGGACTGGGTGGCCTTTGGGGGTCCCTTCCAACTCCAGGATCCTAGAAGGCACCTTTTTTTGCACCTCTTTCCTCCTGTCTTTCCTCTGAAGCTGGATCTACACTGCTCTATATCCCAGGATCTGACCCCAGGTTATCTGGCATCCAGTTCAAAGAAGGCAACACTATGTTCCATTAGACTGCATCTACACTGCCCTATATCTATCCTAGGATCTGATCCCAGATTATCTGCTTTGAACTGGATATATGAATCTGCACTGCCAGATAATATGGGATAAACAGATAATCTGGGGGGTTTAGGGCAGTGTAGATCAAGCCTTAGTGGCCTGTGGTGGGTGTAATCAGTCACCATCCAGGCCTTAAATGGTGGATTTCCTATGCAATCATCCACACAGTGATAATACTTTCTTCAAAACAGGTTTGAAACATCATTGAATGCCAGTGTGAATGGGGTCTTTGTGTGTTTGTGGAAGGGGATCGTGGCCTAAATACCCCCCCCCCCCCCAAAAGCACCAGATCCTGTCTGATCTTTTCAGTGTGGCAGTTTGCAATTATATTTCCTGGTCAGAAAAGGTTCAATTGCACCCTTAGAAAAGCTGAGATGTTAAAATAATTCTCAGTAAAAAGCAAAATACTCTAAGATACCATCTGCTTTTCAAAGCCAAGGAGGATCAGCCCTGGTTGGAGGGAAGATCACTAAGGAATACCTATATTTCAGAGGGAGGAATGGTCAAAACCAATCCACAGTGTTCCTTGGCTAAGAAAAATCTTATGGCGTTCATGAGATGGCCTTAAGCATCTCCTCCTCCACATCGACAAGTTGAATATTTAGCAAATTCTCCTCCACCTTGTCTGTTTTAGGTCCATTTTACTCTTAGATTTTCCTGGAGTGATTTCTGTCCTCTCCCTGGCTGGATCTACACTGCCATAGAATGCAAACTGCATTATATGGGTCTGCTACACTGACCACACAATGCAGTCCAAACTATATTATAGGGCAGGGTAGGTCCAGACTTTGTGTGTCAGTTTATTCCTAAAGGGTGTGTATATATATACATATTGTTCGTGAAATTTACCCACACATAATATACGGAGATGCACCAATTATATTATATAATTGTATATTATTATTATTATTATTATTATTATTATTATATTGAAACCATACACTCTTATACAGATTATACAAGGATTATATAATCCTTATACATATTATACAGATTATACATGAAACCAGACACTCTTATACAGATTATACAAGGATTTTTGTGTATAAACCGAGAATTAGAGTTAAGTAGCATGACTGGGAATACCTATTATAATATAATATAATATAATATATTGTATATACATATAATATTTATAATATTATAATGTAATACAATATACTACTAATAATATGGTATTATAATTATATATTTTATATTACATGTAATTGCAATATAATGGTATAGTACAATATAGTAATATATAATACTGATATTGTGCTATATTAGTAATATAATATATTGTCGAAGGCTTTCATGGCCGGAATCACTGGGCTGTTGTAGGTTTTTTCGGGCTATATGGCCATGTTCTAGAATCTAGTGGCATTTTCTCCTGACGTTTCGCCTGCATCTATGGCAAGCATCCTCACTACCTCTGAGGATGCTTGCCATAGATGCAGGCGAAACGTCAGGAGAAAATGCCTCTAGATTCTAGAACATGGCCATATAGCCCGAAGAAACCTACAGCAACCCAATATAATATATTGTATGTATCTATATATCTTGTAAGCCGCTCTGAGTCCCCTTCAGGGTGAGAAGGGCGGCATATAAATGTCGATGATATAATATAATATAATATAATATAATATAATATAATATAATATAATATAATATAATATAATATAATATAATATAATATAATATAATATAATATAATATACGGAGATGCACTGAAGCGAGGGATTCAGACCGGAAAGTAACCAGGCTTCAGAATTTTCTATTTTCGATATCACTCACGACAGAGGGTTTTTTGTGACTGATCTGAATGTCATGTGAATCGCCCTCTGTCTTACCCGGATTAATATTATTACAAATGATGTGCACAGTGCGAGGTTAAACAAGCACGAGTAAACTGGAGTGGGTGGCAGTGTAAACAGTAACTCTTCTACCGAAAACGCCGGCCCTTCCTTCCCTTCATCTCCATTCCTAATTCCTTTATCATTGTGACTTCCACGCAGACACACAACCCAGAATATCAAGGCAGAAAATCCCACAATATAGGCTTTGAATTGGGTTATCTGAGTCCACACTGCCCTATATTCCAGTTCAAAGCAGATAATGTTCAAAACATTATTTAGATGTGTGGAAGGGGCTTTAGCGCATTGAAAACAAGAAAACAACAAATAAAAGACACTAAAAGGCGCTCAGACAAAACCGTGGGTCTCTTTGGCTTGTAGTTACGATTTATTGCTGAGAAAAGCCAGAGTTTAATAGGAGTTGTCCCAATCCTCCAACGTTGGGACAGACGTGGCATATTCATGAACACATCTGTAGGACTATAAGAAAGACTCCTAACACTTGAAGACTGCTTTTCCCAGTTTAGAGCACTCTCGGCTGATGGTTTCTCTGTCGCTGGATAGAAACCTGGACCAGACAAAGTTAAACCCAAGTATCTGTCATATTACCATTTATTTTCGCATCTGAAATCCCTCCAATCTCCTTAAAACAGCTACAGACTACAAATATTTCTCCACAGGTGTAAGGTCACTGATTTTAAAACATAATTTTTTATTAATTTCCTATACATTTCCATCCCTCTTGCGCACATTCCCAGCGGCTCTGTTTTTAATAAATATTATTGTCTGATCCAGAAATCCATTGTAAACAAGGATCATTTTCTTTAATTGTTATGAAGGACCATCAAATTGGTTTCAAATGCAAAAATAGAGAATGTCAGGCATGTGTTTGTGGATAATGATAAAACTAGACATCCGAGATAAGTGCAACACTTCAAAGGCCCCATATACACCGGCAGATAATATACAGATTATCTTTTTGAACTGGATTATGTGAGTCTACACTGCCATATAATCCAGATCAAAGCATAGAATCTGTATTTTAACTGGCAGTGTAGATGGGGAAAAAGAAGGGAAGATGCTGGCTTTATTTCAGAAGCAAGGAATCTAACTTGAATGGTTACAAGAAAGGAAAGTGTTTCCTTTCCTGGTAGTCTGGGAGTTTGAAAGGGCAGCTGAGTTTTCTTCATGCACATTTTTTTGGTTTTTTGTGAACCATTTTTTTTGGTTTTTTTGTGAACCAAAAAAAATAGGATCAATTTCTTGGTGCCAAAAGAATCTTTGTCATTCCACATAAGTGAGCTAACAAGAAAAGCAGCCTCATGGGATCCT